TTGTCACTGATAAGCGCGCATACCTCTGCATTGAAAGCAGCTGGATTATGCTGCCGACAACTCCTATCGAGCGTCATGACACAAACTGTTTCTACCCATAACGCTTAGCAACAGAAATGGAAACTGATGTTGTTGACATTCCTAACAAGAAAACACGTAAAAGGCATGTCTCCATACCTTCAGGTTTACTAAATACAGGTTGCTGATTCCCACATCCCTTTAGACAAATAAACACTCAGTCTGAGGTGATGGCACAATTAAAAGTTTGTGATGGGAATCAATCAGGCCTTGGGGGTGGGGGTGGGGCACAGCCCCTTAGTTAGAGAGGCTAATGGTTTAGTGCTTATATATGTATGTATTTACAGCCATATATAAAAATATATATATATATATATATATATATATATATATATATATATATATTTATATATATATATATATATACATATATATACATATATAATATACACCCACACAGACATATAATATATACATACACACATATACACATACACACGCATACACACACACACACACATATATATGCATGCACATATAAATATATACACACACATACATTATTCATATATACATACACACATACATCATCCATGTTTGCATGATGCATGCATAAATGGGTCGACTTAAGAGCCAAGGGCATGTTTGAAAAAATCCATTTCGATGCGGTTTTGAACACACACACACACACACACACACATACACATACATACACACACACATACACACACACACACACACATATATATATATATATATATATATATATATATATATATATATATATATATATGTGTGTGTGTGTGTGTATATGTGTGAGATGAAAAAAGTAAAATATTTGATATAATGTCAAATGTATAACAAAAACTTAAAAAGAGAAGTTGTTTACTGGTTAAGTGAAATCTTAGTCACCTTACAATTTTTTTTTTGACGGGTCAGAAAAAGGGGGGGGGGGGGGGGGCTAAGATGCTTCTATGTTCCGGCGCCTATACACTTAATGAGGTATATTGTCGATATCATGCCGGCCGACTATACTTCCCTCACTCTTTTTGTACCCTTTCTAAGAGGGTCGACCTGAAAGTTAAGTCTGTGATAATGTAAACAAATAACTGTTGGTGATGAAGCCATGTGTTTACCTGACCGACACTCAGAAATCAATCAACAGTACGAACAATGTTGTTCCATAGTGAATGTAAATAATGAGTACATACACAACACATTGGACTTTGCTTTTACTGACATATCTCGCTGAATCTTGTCAGATGCGTTGCTGCAGAATCACACCAACGCAAAACGAAGAAGAAAAAAACAATTTTGTCTGATTGACGTTCAACCCCACTAGGACATAACACCGAGCGACAAATACCCGGTGACACAAAGTGCCACCATTCGAATAAGGATCACCCGGGAACAGGACCTAGAAACCCCGTTAAACCCATAGGTTGGGTTATATTAATGCCTTAGGCAACAGCCAGGGTGGGACTTAAAAACAACATCAAATTGTTTCGACATTGGGACGCGCATTCCACATTGAGATGAAAAAAAAAAATCTCATTAAATAATGGAGTCATAACAGTCTATTAACAAGACAGTGTGATCTATATATTCCAGTAGAAAGGATCCTTTTTTGTGTGCTTCGTTTTATGTTTATGTTATTTAGTCGTTAGTCCAGCTGTCCATTGAGCTATAACTAACAGTCCCACACCATAATTTTGTATTTTCGTTGAAACAAAAAGCACCTAAAATAAGTCTGGTTTGCACTCTTAGTGTTTGCGTTCGCATTATTTAAAAAGTTTCAGATCTAAAACAGCGTTATTATAAATGCTGGATATACTTTCATTTATGTATATTTCTTTGAGTGTGTTAGTCTTTCCACTTGAGCCTAGAGCGACGCATTGGGAAGAGGCCGTAGCTCTCCATGATTGGCGGATCGTTGCCACCTGTTTTAATTGTAGGTATTTGATGTTCTTTGAGCCTTCCCTAAAGATGGTTTTACGAAGGGTCTCTTTCGGTCTTCACCTTTTATTTCCTTCGTAAATGAATGTATGTATGTATGTATATATATATATATATATATATATATATATATATATATATATATATATATATATATATATATATATTAACTATATACATACAAGAAAGAGAAGTTTCAAATACTACAGCTAGAGCGCAGTTGCGTAACCAACCACTCTAGTGCGCATGCTCAAGCCAACATGGACCCTTAAGTTCAGTTCCGAGAAAGATGGCCACCGTGCAGCAGACGTCGGCCATATTAAACATCCATAACCTCTAATGGTTGTCTGCAATCCGTAGACTTTCTTCTCCATCTCTTGTACGCATATTATTACTATGTGATATATATTCAAGGATATATAAATGCATGAACCGGTACCCATCATGTTGAATAACCCTATAGATATACAGTGTGTCGCTCATCTATCAAAAGGGATGACAACCACTCAACATCCATTCATATGGGGAGGGGAGAGGGTTGCAATAATTATAAATAACTGGTTGAGAATGACTAGCTTAACAACTTGCATTTAAGTGATAAAGAGCTGCGCATTGCTTCGATTTATGCCCACTCTCCAGCCACTCGTAGGACAATGTCAAGATGTACAGATCAGCAACAACAATTTTTTTCCAGGTGGCCTTAGATCTTCCATGTCCTTATGGTTTTAAAATTTACAATTGCTAATGTAGTGCTTTTTTTCTTAAAAAGCAAATTTTTTTTTTTTGGGGGGGGGGGGGGGGGGGGGGGGGGGGGGGGGGGGGGGGGGGGGGGGGGGGGTGGAGGAAGGGGTTATCCTTGTTGAACTAATAATCTGTATAGCAATAACAAAACAAAACAAAAAAAAATACACAGTAGCTGACACATGCGTGGAGATTTTTGGGAAATTTACACGCTTTTGCAGCGATGTGTGGTGATTATTTACATAGCCTATCCCACATTTTCAACAAAAAAAGCCACCACTCTAAGAAGGCTAATGATTGAGAGGACCAGCTGAGAGTATTTTAATATTTCCACTTTAAGTTGCCTGTTCTCATTCATGAGCTAGTCTATCAACATATACTCTATTATATCGCCATACACAACCCTTATATTTCTCTCTCTCTCTCTCTCTCTCTCTCTCTCTCTCTCTCTCTCTCTCTCTCTCTCTCTCTCTCTCTCTCTCTGTGTCTTTTTGTAATCTTCTTTCATCCTGATTTCAGGCTAAGTTGTTTAAGCATAATATATAGAAAACCTCAGTGTGTATTTTGTTTTTCTGAATATACTGCTATGTGTCAGCGCCTTACAGGGTCCTATCATGTGTATATACAAGTTTTCGCATTCATTGGAAGCAACTTTAATGCTCTAAGAGCTTACATGGGGTTGCATAATTACACGCTGTTATCGTTCAGGCGTGCAACCCACAGTTTGAACAGACATCGGATTTTGTCCGAGAAGACGGCAAGGGTTTGAGTTTCAACTATTACCAGCTGTGTTACAGACCGGAGGGTGGCGTAATTTCTATTAGGTACAGTAAAATTCGCAGAAATTTGAACGAATCCTTCACCCAAGCCATTTTAGAAATGCAAGACAAATTTATATAGTTCCCATCCTTTCTAGGATGAAATTTTTCGTTATTTAAAGCCCTACTCTGGCCAGGGGCCGCAATATAGCCTGGCCATAAATATGGCCTAATGGCTGAACGCTGTTTCTGGGACCTCTTCAAGGTGATCCTCATCCACATGGTGGCACATTGTGTCATCGGGTGTTTATCGTTTGTGTGATGTCCTGGTGGGATAGAAATTCAGTCAGTCAGTCAAGACAAATTTAGAAAACCACGACACTGGACTACAATTTGGTATCAGTGAGACGACAAAAGAAGAAAAAGAGATAGTGAGAGAGCAAATAAAATAACTCATTTTACTACCAATTTGAGCTAGCCGCAAAACGGTGACCATGCAAAAGAAAACATCTCCAATCACGAAAAGTTATAAAAATGCAAGTGTGTTTCTCTATAGACCGTATATCTCCCATGTGCCTACTCCGCCAGTGTAACGCGTGCCTAAGGTGATTACTTCTGACGACAAAATATGTTTAATGTGACACAAATGCCTACATATCTTGCATATGTTCAGGATAAAACAACTGGGCCAAATTAATTTCATCATGTCTTGTATGTTGACATATGCAGACTGGTATACATTACTTTGTTTTACAATATAAATGGAATTATTTACTTCTTTTAACTGTAAAACAACATTTTATCTTTAGCTACAATCCTGCATCTCCCTCATATTATCTTTAGCTACAATCTTGCATCTCCTTAAAAACATTTTATTTTCCCTTTAAAATTTTTTTTTGTTTTTGTTTTGTTTTTGTTTTAGCAATTTTTTTTTTTTTATTTCCAGTTTCCCCAGGAACTTTATATTATATTGTTTTGCCCACTTGATTGAGGAGTGGCTGGCCCTCAGTAAGGGGATTGAGTTTCACTGTCGTGGGCAAAATGAAACATCTTAAGCTGATTAGTCGGTATCGACAGCACTAGCTGTGCGGTTCTAGATTATTAGGCTCACAAACCCCTGTCTCATCATCATTCAGCTAGTCCTTTACAGAACGTCGCTCTCTGCATGGCACGCCTGAAAGTATCTCTTTTCTTAGCCAGCTCTCAAGCCCCAAACGCTTTCAATGCCAATGCATCCCCAGTGTCTTGTATCCATCTTCTTGGTGGTCGACCCCTGCCTCGCCTTCCACAAACTGCACCTTCCATCGCCGTCTTTTCCAAGTCTACACCGCCCTAGAAAGTGGTAAATGGAGACGGTAGAGACATTTACAGTCCATTTGTTCATGTTTTGTGTCACTAATAATTGACTTTTACCAAACAATCTACGCTACCGAATCTTTATCGGTGGCTTGCAAGTCGTAAATAATGTCCTCTTCTTCTGCAGAACAGAACATTCTGTCACTGATGGGCATTTCTATCAACGACGACTGCTGCTGAAAAGGTCTTCTTTGTCTAGGATGTGTCGTCATTTTAGGCACAATAATATCAGATTTAGCAGACGGGATTCTTATCTCAGAAAACTCCTTTCTGCGCTGAAAAGAGGAGCGCCCCAAAGATTTTGCGACCAGGTCTGGTAAGTTCTCTAGATCCATCTGTGAGTAGAAGGAAAAACAAATTAGATACACATTAAAATTAATGCGGAGAATTTATATATATATATATATATATATATATATATATATATATATATATATATATATATATAAGTAAGTAGAAGACCCTTTTCACTCGAGTGGCGTATGAGGCAAATGAGATATACTTTTTATAGACCAGTGGGTACTCAATGAGTCATTTAGTCAGCACTTCTGGGTACCAATCTTACGCTAGGGTGGCTATAATATGACAGCTTTCCACACACACACACACACACACACACACACACACACACACACACACACACACACACCACACATACATATATGTATGTTTAACTCTTTGTGTCCTAATATCTTGCGAGAAAATAACTCGCAACGATAAATATGCCACAGACTAACAGATAACAATCCATATTACTGCGGCAAAAGAGGAGGAGAGGGAATAGAAAGCGTGTTGTGACAGCAGGAAACTTGGAGGGGAGGAAAGAAGACAGAGGAATACCAAGAGAGAAGCTATTAGAGACAGGCTGTCATCATGGCGTGAATGAACGTACAGATCAGACATGACCGACATTACGGGAGTCAGCAGAATGTGGACCAGGCGTGATAACAAACGCTATGCGACGTGGACTAAAAGATGAAGCTGATGAGCAATATAATCAATATTCAGCTTTTTAGTTCATCGCAATCAGACAATTACTGGTACCATCGGAATTGGAAATCGCATGTTGTTGAAGATGGGGATGGAGCGCTTATGGGAGTGTCCCAATTGCTATGATGTCGATTTTTAATTCAACATCTAACAGTTAATCGCAGTTCTAACTAAACATCACGCGGATTACTCCATAGTTGTTCTGTTCCCATGCCAGCGAAAACCACACAGAATGTCAATCGATGTCCCTAGTGTGTGTGTATGTTTGAGTGTGTGGGTGTGTGTGGGGTGAGCGGAGGGGGTGTTGAAACATTCTGCAGTCTCGACAAAGCCAGTAGTATACACTCGCATTAAATGCATTCGTTCGGCCTTTATAAGTGCCAACACAGTCTTCCATCATCATCTAAGGCAGCAGCAGTTACAACAAATCAGCAGTTGCACACGCAATACCGCATAAGATACACATCATTATTATATGAGAAAAAGACCCTAATTTTACATACTCCAAGATGTTTCAAAAACAAATAAAGGAAGAATGATCAATCACAGTTAGTATTTCATACGTCCTCTGCCTCGAACACCCACCTGTAATTGTGTTAGTGTAGCCTCTATTTTGAACACTTGTTTTTCCATAATGGCCTGATTGCTGTGCATTTCCAGAACTAGATCGTGCATATTTGACTGTATCTGCCAGGGAGAAAAATTACAACGCATTTACATGACAAATGCATGACTTTACCATTTCAATTAACAGTAATTTCACATGCTTTAAATCAGGCTTCAAAATGTGACTCATCAAGTTTTTACCTGACTAGTTCTGTAGCCATTCTAGTGTGATTCTCTCTGACCAGTTGTATATTTTCCAGACCCATAATATTGTTCCACTGATCTATGACTAAGAAACTTAACGAAGGATGGGCTGGGGAGTGGGAGCTGAGAGGACGTTTTAGACGTTACCTGATTCTCTAGCTTTATTATTATTATTCTGTTAAACAACATAATCATTTCAGAGTACCATTATCGTTTCCCACGTTATAGCTCTATTCACACTCGATTCTGAAGGCTAAATTGCTAGCAGTATTTGATGTAGCCCTTGAGGATCAGGAAATGACATCATAAATTCTTGAAAAAGCACATTGGAATGCCTGTCACCGTTAGGGAATATATGCTCAATCAAAATTACTCTTTCTTCAAACGTCAACAACCAGCAAACTTATAGTTAAGATCAGATACTAGAATACTAGAATACCGGTAGGTAACAGTGATGTTCTAAATTGGGGTTTACATGGCGCTTGAAACATGACGCAATACACAAATGTAAATGCGAGTGAGGGGAGGGGTGCTGCATGGTCTCAAGGAGTGGTGCTGCAGGTCCCGGGATCAGGCCCCAATGAAGGCTGCGATTTTGTTTAGATGGACTTCTAGTAATTTCCCCTGGTAACGGGGTAGTGAGATTGGACTCCAGTGTGTATTGTTGCGAATGTAGAAAACCCCTTGGCACTTGAAACTAAAAAAAGAGTAGCCTAACGGCGCTACCCGGGCAACATTTCGAGTTAAAAATATACTTAACGTATTTCAGGATTCTAGCCGGTGCTAAGGGGTTCGTGCACTGCACTGAGATTTCTCGGTCTTGAGTTAGAAGTAGAACGGAGCACTTACGGGTTACTATCCTTGTGACATGATGTTCATCCGTTGTTTAAACCTAAACCCCTCAGCCATGCTGGCAGATTTATAATGTGACCGGTAGAGGTAGGTACAGTGGGATAGCTCTGAGTAAGAAGACTGAGCAGGCACAGGTATGCCCAATTTTCAGCGAGGACGATTGTGAAAAGATAACATAATATTGCTGTTGCTTCTTTAACGTACACCGCTTAGGAAAATTTAAAGAGAGTTCTGTTTACTCTTCTTTACGTCCCCTTATCGATTCGGACGCCGAGGGGCATCCGGTGGGTTTTTTTTTTTTTTCGCACTCTTCTAGCATCCGCGATCATAGGACGCTTGGTAGAGCTTCAATGATCTTATTGTTTCGTCACTTTCCACGACTGCCTCGGGTTCCATCATTCCCTCCACCTTCCAATCCCACATTTTTGTGTGGGTGTTGTTTGTTTAGAGTGACTAGCTGATCGATTTTAAGAGAACTCATATTTCTTATGTGCCACTACATCCACTCTAGGCATATCTCTCAAGTGCTTTGCTGTCTAATGTATTCTCTCTAACATAATCCTCGTTTCCCAGATTCTTTCAATGCCATATAGCATTCGTCAGCTTTTTTTAACCTTATAGGTTTCCAACTGAGTGCTATTTTCAAGCACTAATATTTACTGGGCTAGTAGTGACATCTTTTTCATCCGCGACTAGGTCGCCCTGTGGATCGCCTGCAGACGACATTGTCGCTGGTCGGGACAGTATTTAGGCCCGTCTCCTCTGATTGCGTCAACACTGTAAAAGCGTGCAGTGTTAAAGCTACTTTATGTGCCGCACATTGCCTAGAAACAATCATAACCTGAAACTCCCACTTTGGGGATGCTGGTTTAATGTGACGATTTGTTTTTCAAGAAAAGCACCTATCCTCGAATTCGTTTTGCGAAGTACTGCCATAGCAAAAGTCGTTCCCATGTGGAATGCAATTTTTTTTTAATTCCAAGCCCCACCCTGGCTTCTTACGGGGGCATATATATTGCCAATCCATAGGAATGGCCTAACTGCTAAAAGGGGTTTCTGGGTCCTTTTTACGGGTGATCCTCATCTGCGTGGTGGCACTTTGTGTCACAGAGTGTTTATCGCTAGTGTGTTGTAATGGTGGAGTAAACAGTTAGCCAGTCAGTCAGAAGTGCTGCTTCTGCAGGGGATGTTTGTTGCACGTCTCGTAATATCTGTTGTTTTCTCTTCTTTTTTTGTCTACTTATTCTTCCTTATCTTTCGAATATGACATAATACTTATGAGCGTACTCTAACATGCTGACCACTGTCTGAATAGACACTAAAGCTTGAATGTTGGTCATGATGTCTTGTATGTCTGTCTGTAAGTCTCTCTGTCCAACTGCCTTCCCATTCCTTCATAGGCTACTACTAGCCCTGTGACTCGAAAAGTATAATTGTACATGGCGACTCAAAATTCCCACGCAGTAGATCAAAAAAAAAAAAATCATGCTCAACCCCAAACAACGCTATAATTAGTGCACAGGAAACGGTTGCACCAAGTGCTGCTCTGGTATAACCTGCATTCCTTTGCGAGCAAACATGTGTACTATTTTCAAACGGCTGACTGACTGACTTTCTACCCCACCAGGACATCACACCCGATGACACAATGTGCCACCATGTGGATGAGGATCACCGTGGAGAGGTCCCAGAAACCGTGTTCAGCCTTTAGGTCATATTTATGGCCAGGCTATATTGCGGCCCCTGGCAAGAGCCAGAGTGGGGCTTCAAATAACGAAAAATGTCATCCTAAAAAGGACGGGAAGTGAGATAGCGCGATTACCACTATCGTTCTAGCGCTAAATGCAGTCCACAACACATAAATGCAAACGAAAGAACGTTTGCCAAATAATAGGTTAAAAGCATTTTCTGATTCCAAAGTCTTCTTGTGTGTAGAGGAGTTTTTTCCCCTTCTGTCTAGATTGCCAGAAAACATAATTCGTCCATCGAGTCCAATATTGTGTCTGGTTTACTCAGTATGTTATATATATTTATCTGGCAATTAACTGTAATAGCACATAGCGTATTAAGGGACCGTCACTCTTGGGATTACACATATCCCTAGTTATTTCCCTTAGGATGATTTTTGATTGTGTATGGACGATTTTAATGGCAATTTGTAGTAAATTGTCCGAGGTTCTATTTTTTCATCGTTGGTCCAAGTAACGTTATTACATTTTTACTGTATACAGCACAGCTGCGATATTTCCCCTTTCGACCAACAAATTTGAAGTTTGTGGAATATATAAAGGAAATAGAAGGGGTATTCCAAAATATACATCCCATTTGCTGGTAAAAATGTACGGTTTCTCACAGCTTGCATCATTCAGCTTATGGTTTATTACATACAAGCCTACAGTCGCATTACAGAATACACATGGACACCATCATTGCCTGTCCCACCAAATGTAAAATTCGTGGTGTAAATCGATTTCTTCGAGGAGGTCAAAGTGCTCGGTTTAGACCAGCGCTTCTCAACCTGCGTGTCGCGACCCTTTTTTGGGGTGGAACGAACCTTTCACAAGGGTCGCATAAGACTATCGGAAAACACTTATTTTTTGAAGTTATGAAGGAAATTAACTGTTGGGGGTCGCCACAACATGAGGGAACTGTAGTGAAGGGTCGCGGCATTAGAAAGGTTGAGAGCCGCTGACTTACACGCTCTTTTTGAGCTACTGAGAAAATGGAAATGTATTTCTCGACAGAATAGTGACTGGAGACAAGACATGTGTTAACTTTTGAATGCATGTCCTAAGAGTTGACTCATTTGCAGATTCGTTCAAGGACGAAATGTATCTGTCTGAGAGGTGAGAAACCAACAGTCTGCAAACAAATGATTTGCAAAACAGATGTGCACACAACAGTCAGGTTATGGAACGAGACTAGTGTCCAGGAGTGGACTAATAACTAGAATTGTTCGCCAGTAAAGGCGAAAAGGAAAAAACAAAATTAACCGTGTGAACTGTTCTTTGGTTCCATTCTGTTCCTAAATTCTGACTTGTCACAATAATAGGTCACGTATACAGAATCGTCTTGCGATTTATCATTAAGGGCACTAATAGAAGTCAGAAAATGAATTCGCCGTAGGTTTTAGACACTGCAAAGGATCTTGAACCAGATCATACAGTCTGATAATTATATCTGAGAAATTCAGAGAGTACTGTGTAAACCTTCACACAAGCTCCATACGCTTCATATCAACCATTGCAGACTGTGCTGCATCATAAGTAGATGGTTCTTTAAGTATGTATTAGTAAATTAAATCATGGAAAACAAGCGGATGATAAATCAAATGATGAATTATCAAACTAGCTTTAGTGCTAACAGGAGTAAGTCATGGTTGCAATGATTTTTTGTATGCATATTTACCTGTGGTTTGCAACAGTAAGTGTAAAAAACAAGAGGGAGGGGATACAAATCAATGAGATATGTGACATTATGATTAGTTAGTTAGTTAGTTAGTTATTCCTCTTGTGCCAAAGATGGCGCATAGGGCAGAGGTCATAGCTTTCCACGTCTGTCGGTTCTTTGCCACTTGATGTAGGTCTTGAGTGCGACTGAGACCTATGGTTGAGCTCTCCCTTGTGATGGTTCTACGGAGAGTTTCTTTTGGTCTTCCCTGTTTTCTTTTACCCTCTGGTGACCATATGAAGGCTTGGTAACGAAACGACATGACGTTTAAAGCCAGAAATCTGTTTCTGTAACAGTGGATGTTTTACGATGGCGGCTTGTTAGGCTACCGATCAACGGACTGGAGACAAGATTGAAGGAAAACATACCTCCATCTTGAAACCGGAACCGGAACCTTCATTATGATTATTAACTGGTAAAAATCCATTTCCATATCTCATATATTTGACTGACACGGATGTTCCTTCTGAACAGTGCTAAAGGATAACAACTCTTTATAACCCAGTATAACAAAAGACAAGATGATAATTGAAGCCATTTATTTTTAATTTTTTTGTCAAATATTTGTTTTACACAGACTAAGTCAAAATCTAAACCTTTTCAAACCAAATTTAACAAAAAATTTCCATAGACAAGATTATATGCCAGTCCAAAAATAACAATTAACAATGAAGAAAATGAAACTGTCACAAACTTTAAATACGTTGTTTCCACAATTATTAATGATGACGGCTATTCAAAATTAACCACGAGACTATTTACTGGCCACAAAACGCAAAGGTTAAACAAATTTATGCATGTAGAGTGGAAATAGGTATCTTAACCGAAATAATCATTTTACACTACTTACATATGACAGTGAATTGTACACATAGTGAGCTTGATAAGATAGTGTTTTATAGCTTACCTTTGCCATATCTACAAGTGAACTTTGATTTTCTGTTAATTTTCTTTGGTCCATCTTTACTCGTCGCAAACTGCAGAATACAGCAATTAGAAAAGAGAATGAAAATACAAGAAATGAGTAAAGCTAAAAGCGATCGCTTTAAAACGCCATGATATTCACAGCAATTATACACTTATAGTCTCTTGCTCTGCCGCTGCCACTATCACTACTATTACTTCTAGTACCTATTGTTCGTCTTCTTCTTCTTCTTCTTCTTCTTCTACTACCACCACTACCATCATCGCCATTACATATTTTACTTCTGGTACTTGGATTAATACTAGTCTACTGCTAACACAATTATTACCACTATGAAACTGTCTGAATTTTGTCTGTATAATATTTCGCGTTATTTAATATTTCGTGAACTGTTCAAACATAACAGAATTTCCGTTTGTGTTTTTCCCCCCTCCAAACACTGTCGATATTTTTCCTCGTTACAAGCATTATATTAAGATCGACATCACGAAACCAAATACAGCCTTAAAACAACCAAGGCCTAATGGAAGTCTCCTGTCAAGCGTTCTTGAAAATGTCAGTCTCAAATATTTGTCTCCCACGCGTTCAGAGTTAAGGTATTTACTGTCAATAACAATCAATTTGCTATAGTAGTACACTTTCACTCCGAATGTATTGTTTAGGTTTCTCCTGTTCTCGTTAACTTTTGTATTACAGTACGTTTACAAATTGGTGGCAGTGTACAGGAAAATATATTTCAACTATACTGGAATATAAATTCGATAAAATTATATATATATATTATTTACTTCATTCTCCACATTACGTTAGAGTTGTTTTCGCATAACAAGTAATTAGGATGCATTTTTGCTTATATGAGATATGTAAATATGCGACGGTCCTTGTTGGATTGCCTTGTAATAGGTATTCAGCATAAAATTCAAATGTAACCAATTGACTTTTCACGAAAAGACTTGTTTCTTGTGTTTAACGTACATTCTGAATAAGAACACAACTGTTGGGCTGAAAGTGTCGAGACACGCTGTAAAATGTCTGTGCTGTCAGGTTACGTCACAAGTTGTAGAGGAAAAACCGATGTTGTTAGTTTCTGTGTTATCAGAATGGCGCTAAAAGTTAAAATCGTTACATTTTAAAAAATAAACGTTCAAGTTAATAAATATTTCTCGTTTAAGGCTAAACGCTGATATCTGCTTTATTTTTATTTTTTTTCAAACCAAGAGAAAAGAGCTAAACATTCCCTGTTCATAACCGACCGGGCATTCTCAAGATGAGCTACAGTAGAATCAATTCTTTCTATACATACCAATGTTGGGAGCAAAAAGGAAAAAAAAACTGTTACTTTTGACAAAGAAGTTATTAAAGAGCAATTATTGATGCTGTAGAAATTAAAAATTGAACTCATACAGCACCATGATATTGATATACCCAAAAGTATAATAAGGACAATTGTAAAATGTGCAAGGACTTACGTCCTCTTGATAAACATGTCAAGAAGTGTCTCCGCCATTCACGTTAGAATGTAAAATTGTGTTTTCCACATAACTAAAATTATACAAGTGTTGAAAACAACATAGAAAACGTCTGATTGATACAACTGAGTAGCTAATTATTATTTATGTATAAAACTTTAACGTCGAGATGAAAATGGGAGCTTATGCAAAAATCATATTCCCAGTGTAAGTAATAACGAGAAATTATCGAAAATACAGAGGCGTCGTGGCTAAGGCGTTGCGAGTCAGACTCGTAATTCCTTCGTACCGCGATCGAAACCCACTGCTGGCTTCGTGGATTTTTAATCATTGTATGGGGCGTCGCTGGTCGACCCAGCCTAAAATGGGTACAATGATGGATGTCTTGGGGAAATAAAGACGGCTGGCGTAATGCTGACCACAATACCCGCCCTGTGCCGATAGGTCTGTAAAAATATAGGACGCTCTTCCCATATGCCCGTTGCGCCTTAGGCGTATAAAGGGATTTTTACTTTATTACTTTCATTAGGACGGCATGAATTCATAAACGGACCATAGTAATGTTGTGTTGCACTTTCGGCTTGCTGGATGTAATGATGGTCTGTGATCTTTCTCTCTCTCTCTCTCTCTCTCTCTCTCTCTCTCTCTCTCTCTCTCTCTCTCTCTCTCTCTCTCTCTCTCTCTCTCTCATATCAACGATAAAAACGCAGTTAATGAAGCGAGAACTTAGATTAATTTTAGTCTGTGTAAATGAATGCTCAGAGTTTCTTCTGTTTTGACCCGATGTAAAATGCTCAGAAAAAAGAATTAAACCACTCACCCCAGCCCCCTTACGCCCCCCCCCCTCCCCCAAATAAAAAGAACTGTCGCCCTGATGTCTAGCTTCATATTACTATACATCCACTGCGCCAGTGAATGGAACGGGCTCTTTGCTTTACTTCGTTTTAAATAACTGCTCCTTCTATATTATCAAATTTAATTGACTTCTCAGTATGTTCATGTTTCTGTTCAGTCTGTTTAAATCAATGCTTAGTCTATATGTCTTTATTCTATTTGTTTACATCATTGCCCAGTCTGTGCAAGTCGTCAGTCTGTGTAAATCTCTTTTCAGTCTGTTTAAATCACTGTTTAGCCTGTGTAGGTATCTGTTCATTTGCGATTAAAATCAGATCTGGCTTTCACTTATATTTACAAATAAGAAAATAGACTTACTCAGCCAAATCTACACCCGCATTTGTTAGATTTTTTTTTCACATAGAAAACTACAAAAGCAGATATCTGAAAGATCTCACCTGTGTATAGACTGTAGAAATTTTCTTTGATGTTTTCTTACTTTGCTAATGTTGACCTTCTTGACGAGTTTTGTGTATCGATATATCAACCAGGTCTCGCGTAGAACGTTTGCTGCTGCGTTTTTTAACTGATGATTGAAGTACAAACATAAATTTATGAATAATATTAAAACTGATTGATACACAATGGAAGATTTTTTAGGTTTTTAACAAGGGATCAACATCATGGCACACGGGTAGTAACCGATAAGTGCTCCGTTCTTCTTCTAACTCAAGTCTGAATCCTAAGAATCTCAGCACAGTGCACAGGCTCTGTAGCACCAGCGGGGATCCTGAAATACTTTGGGTAGATTTTTAACTCAAGATTTTGCCCTGGCAGTGCTGTTAGGCTACTCTTATTAATTTTCAACTGCCGAGAGATTTTTTTACATGCGCAACAATGCACACGGGCGCCAGATTTCACTACCCAGAGACCAGGGGGAATCACTAAAAGCCCAAGTACACGTGAAATAATTCACGGCCTCTACTGGGGATTGAACCTGGAACCTCTAGGACTTGAGGCGGACATCATGCCTCGAGACCGCGAAGCGCCCCGTCACAACAGAAGACTTGAGTTACAAAGTATCTTCTTCCAAGAGTTCATCAGCTGTAAACTCCGAAGGCAAAGTTCAGGGTGGTCATCCACGTCTGGACTTTGCTTAGACTCTAGAAACTGAGTTTCGCGTGAGTTTTACAAATCTGGCGCTTTTCCATGCAGATTGTGTGTTATACGCCCCTCAGACAGTCACCTCGACTCTAAAGGGAACAACCACAATCGAAATACCACCCCTGTGTGTGTATGTGCGCGCGCGCCTCTTTTTTCCTTTAATTTGTATGTGAGTACATTGCAGCTTATCAATGAAATGTACTCATTTATCTTTTCAATTTATGTTTGTGTGTGTGTGTGTGTTTAAAAATATATATAAACACACACACACACACACACACACACACACACACACACACACACACACACACACACACACACACACACAACGAAGATGTCCTGAATAAAATTAGGTCACAAACAGAACTGGCAAATCCAAATCAAAATGTTTTCAACACATATTCTTTATGCACGACCTTGGAAGGGGAGTGGGGGAGAAGAGGCCTTTGGGCTTCTCTAAAAGAGGCCTTTAGGCTTCTCTAAAAACCGCAAAAAAAAAAAAAAGAGAGAATGTCAAGAAGAAGAAGAAGAAAATCTCACAATCAATCCTCATAAATAGGACTTTAAGTACTGGTTATCATTTGTGAGCATGCTATAATAAGGGGGAAATCCAGACAGTCTTTACAATTAGAAAGGTTAATTTAAAGAGTGACAGTGGAAGGAAAATAGAGAATATTACTGATAGTTTTCCTGTGGCCCGGAAATGTGTCCCAAAAAAAAAAAATAAAAGATACATCCTTTCGTAGATGGCAAGATAGGGAGAGGCTTGAGCGTCTGAGACAGTCAGGCATATGAAAATGATGATGATGATGATTATGGTTAAATACTTGATTGTTAGTCTTTATGTTAGTCTCTGTTACAATATAAAGATGTGTGCACACGGGACATGAATTATATAGGTACTGAGGTGGACTCGTGGGAACAAAATGCCATGGACTGTGTTGTGTGGAGGAGGCACATCAAGAAAGAAATGAGACTAAAGGAATAAATTATTGCAAAAAGGATGAGAGCAGAGCGTCTGAAAAGAAATACACTAAATTCAAATGTTGACAACAACGGTCTTAACATTCCCAAGATAAAATTGTATTCGACATTCTTAACGCGGGCGGGCCTTGCTAGTCACACCCACCATCGACATGGGCTGTGAGTCCCATGCCTCCTCATAAGGTTAGTTGCGTATCCGTTATAGGACGTTGCAGAACCAACACCAACAGCCCCTGGCTGTTGTATGGTTTCTCTAGGCAAATGTACCTCCAGTAGTTTGCTACTGCTACCTGGACGGTCGGCTTTCTTGATAGTACTGTCAAAACTAACACAAGGCACGTGGCCCGCAGTTGGGATCGAACCCGGCATCCCGGCATTACGAAGCGTTGGCATCGACTTAGCCACAGAGCCGACATGCCTCCTCATAGCGCAACATAATACTATCGTCTGGAAAGACGAAACGGTGCTAATATAATATAATGTAAACATAATGTAAACATAATGTAAACATAATGTAGTCTTTATGAGTTCTAATTTGTCTGTTAAGTTAAAAGTAAAGGACCATTTTCCGTTCAGGCGTTATTGGGTATATAGGGCTAGACCTATTATTTTATAGATCAAACGGCACTTGATGGATGATGTGGTCAGCATCACACCGGCCGCCTTTACTTCCCAGGACTGTGCCTGGAACATACTCAAGGCTGGGTCGACCTGGGAGCAAAGGTCATTTTTGAATTAAAAAATCCGGCCCTCGTGAGGAACCGAACCCTGGACCACCACTAGACCACGAAGGCTCCCAAATATGTCTGTTGCCCCATTGCCCGGCTTTGAGACTTAGTGGGCATACGATGCAGACCCAATATTTGTAAGGACCAGCGGGCAATACAATGATTGTGTAATAAGTATCACGCCGACCTCCTTTACTTCCCGTTACACTACCGGAAATTTATTTTCCGCAGAGTCCACAGGGGACAGTTATACAAATGCGTGGATTCGAACCAGTATGACACTGGTTTAGACTTGCACTATCGCGATCCCCTCAGCTAGAGCCATCAACTTTGACAGGTTGACAGCCGTTGTATTTTAATGTCGGCTTTATTTTATTACCCAAAAAAAAGCGCGAAAATTTAAAACGCAACCACTTCTGAAGTGGCCGTGAACTCTCCCCAACAAAACATTACATGACTTCAAATCTACTTACCCGCTTTGTCAATTGTGTGTCCATCATAAAATAATGCACGTGTTTCTCTGCCCTACTCAGCTCCAACTTCCGGGCTATCACAGCTACAACTAAGGCAGTACATCCAGCTCCCTGGAATAATGGTTCAGGCAAATGTACTGGTAATTTGGTATGTTATTGAAAAAATGTCTAATTTAATTTTTAACTTTTTTCCCCCTAGATATTTGTTTACCTGGCAATGATCATAATTGTAAACCCCCCCCCCCCTCCCTTTTTTTGTGCTCTTTTTTCCAACTCCATCCCCCAACCCCCCCCCCCCCCCCCCCCCCCCCCCCCCCCCCCCCCAATCTTTCAAACATGTGTTTAGGTATAGTCAGCCTCTCCCCACCCCACCCTCCTCCCCAAATGCAAGTAGCTAATTTAAACCCCCCTCATCTTTTCTTCCCCCCCCCCCTCCTTCCACCCACCCATCACTCTGCAATCATCTATACAAGTTATCTTTTTAAGTGTTGTTCACAACATCATTATATAACGTCATTATTAATCTGCCATTTAACGCATCATAATTATCATTGTTATGAAACATTTAATCAGGCGTAAACCTCTTTAACGGCCATTTCCACAGAAAATCGAAAGTGATGAACCCTTCCCCACCCCATCCCCTCCCCCCCTTCCCTTGCCCCGAATCCTCTCACCGTAATGTTTTTTTCTTTCGTCGGCGCCCCTGATTTACCTCATTACATCCTAAGAAATGATTACCCTAACCAATGAAAGCTTGCGCCTGAGGCCAAGAGTATAAGGCAAAAATAATTTTGGATTCAGGACAGGTTAATGTTTCAACATGAATATGTGTTTGAAGTTAAGAGTAAAATACCATTTTAATAGAAACCTGCTGAAGCAAGGATAGTTCTTTGGTACTAAATGAGTTAAATGGCAAACCTACAATAAATCAACAGGTTAGATTTTGAACAAAGACGACATTTGTATTTAAGTTGGAAGGATTCATATTCTCGATTGACTATATTGAACTCTTACTCTAACAAGCACATGACCAGATATGGCTAAATATACCAGACAATGAATTGTGCAATATCTTGCTTGTGTCTTCTGTGTCATTTACAACGGGGAAAATTTGTTTAACTTGTCTTTCTCATTAACAGACTGATGATGTCTGAAAGATTAAACTGATAAGATTGAACTATTTATTTCTGTGGCTGGGTGTATGAATCGACATAAAGATGTGTGTTTACATCAAATATTCCACTGTAGCTGTTCGCCATTATAGAGGAAGCAATGCGGTGTCACGGGAAAGTGTTATATAATATTGCTTCAGGGTTTAAGTCAAATGATTTTATTTCCCGTGTCATGGCTCTGAATATCTGAATATCATCATAAAACTTACAACTGCCAGCCAAGAACGTCGCACAATGCGTACATTCAACATCTCTAGTGACTGTCCGTGAAACAAACCATGAGCCTTCACAGTAAGAGGCAAAAGACTTGACCACCTAGCCGCAAAAGCCCACTTTGATGTCCAGTATTTAAAAAATGCAATGCGCCAAGATCCAATATCCATAAGCAGATTTCAGAGCGGCTTACATCAACACATGAGGAGAAAGGCTTTTATAACAGTTCACGCAATACGAGAGAGAATCCACATGCCAGGAACCACTTGTAGACTCTGAAGATTTCAGGTAAGGAATAAGCAGCTTTGCTACTGATTACACTGGCTAATGTATGCTTCAGTTACCAGTATTCACAACACGATTATGCGGCTGTTTTGTTTCCAATCAGTTCCTCTTATGTCGAATGTTCACAACATTGACAAATGTGGTATCATGCTAGAGAATACTGTGAATTGATGACGTAAGCTGGGAACACGATTAAGTTGGCAAATATACTTAGTAAGGATATGTATGTGTGTATATGTGTGTGTTTGTGCGTATGTGCGTGCGTGCGTGCCTGCGTGGGTGGGTGTGTGTGTGTGTGTGTGTTTGTGTGTTTGTGTGCGTGTTTGGATGCCAAGACAGTCTTCAGATTTATTGTCCACATTTAGCTGGAGGGAGTCGGTGTGGCGTGGATGGCTAGACGCCCGCCCACAAAAATAACCTTGGCTCCCAGATCCACTTAGCCTTGAGTGGGTACCAGGAGCAGTCATGGGAAGTAAAGGCGGTCGGCGTGATGTTGACCACATCACACACCAAGTGCCGATTGGTCTTTTAAAATATAGGTCTAGCCCTATATTCCCAAATACGCCTAAAAGCGTGGAAAAGGGACCTTTTACATTTAGCTGGATCTTATCAGATGTATATACTACAGAACATACATTAACGTATAGGGAAGCATGCAAATCATGTACACTAAAAAATGCAAATCCTGTACACTAAACACAAATTATAAAGTCTGTTGTTTTATAGTACAAAGCATTAGGGTGGTCTCAAACTAGTCCCATGTATTTTTGTTTGTTTACTGCGGGATTATTTATCTTTATTTTAGCCATGTACCTCAAAAAATATTTTTTCACTGTGAGATAATACGCCCAGAATGAACCAATCCCTTTCCGTGTCGTGCCTTTTGTCTAACACAGTGTTTTCTAACCCTTGTAAGGTTCCCCCCCCCCCTCCCCGTTCCGCCCTGAGTATACGGTAGGATCCGCCATCCCCTCCCCCACCCCCTTTATTACACACACACAATTGTCATTAAAACAGAAAAGGATACAAAGAAAAATTCCAAGTACTGTTAACGTGAACTTGAAGAAAAACCTACACATAACTCAAGGTGTCAAGTTACAACAGAAACAATCACCAACGACTGGTAATTTAGTGTTAAAATATCAGTGTGATTGTTGACACTGTTTTGCCTTGATAATATCTCTGCTATTTTAGATCTGATGTTGGACAAGACACAAGAGAGATCACTCTCTGCATCAGGCTGAAAACTCTGTTTTGTTTTCATGACTTTTAAAGCTGAAAATCCTGATTATTACAAGTACAAACGCATTCATTTGCAAAACTGCTTGATGCCTCCCTTAAAACTTTCTCACGCTCCCCTCTCACCAGACTGAAGAACACTGCTCTAGCATTTGACCCGTCATGGGAGAATTTAGCACTTTTGTCTTGATTCGTTTTCTCTTCCATGCAGAATCTCCGGTCATTTGATAAATGGCCGGGAAGGGTAATCCTATTCAATCACGACTTTCAGCAGCAGATGGCGAGCTGTGGAAGAATGTAGATCTTTCCTCTTAATAAATACCCCGGAAAGCTTAACTGACATCAGTTACGCGCAATGAGTCTAGAGGATGACAATTACTAAGATCTAGTTTAAGGAGGAAATTAGTTTAACATGAACACAATTTCGGTTCCATCATGAATGCAATATTAATTATTATTTCATGGTTAGCGCGAATTTGTTAATATGAACTTGATTTATGTTCTATTGGAATTGATGTTAACATTACTCTCTCTCTCTCTCTCTCTCTCTCTCTATATATATATATATATATATATATATATATATATATATATATATATATATATATATATATATACCGGAATGACCTCTGTAGTTCTTCTGTTGTTATGGCCCCTATAGTCGATGTTACGGCTCTTTGGATGTTATCAATATCGTTAAACAAGCGTCCTTTCAATTGTAACTTTTTGGAATAGAAAATAATCACAGGTAGACAAATCTGGGGAATAGGATGGAAGGCTGAGAACTTGTTTTTACGCCAAAAATTCTTGTTTTGATGATGTCTCTTGGGTACTCAACCGGCTGATTTTTTTTGTTCATCAGACAACGACTGTTGTCCTAACCAGCAAGCAACTTTTTTCTTACAAAAATCTTATAAACTGTCACATATCACTCCTGTCGCGTGCCTAATGTAAGGATTCCTCCTTCAGAACCAACAGCACTCAGAGATAATTATGTTGAGTCGTTTGGCTCGTATTGGTCTAAGGGATTCCCCGTGGCCAATATACGATCAACTTATCTCTGGAGTAGGGCAACTCAAGTATTGGCACTACAAAATATGTCAGTATATATATATATAATATTTCTAGGCACACTTGGCTGGACACCCCCACTACTTACTAAAGAAAGCCCCCAGGTTATGATAGTTCATTATCATAACCATGTTAACACATATAATGAAGATACACATACATACACAACTGCTAAACACTTAAAAAGGTGAAATAGAGACACCTAAGTCAGCCATGAAAATGAATGTATGTAATCAATATAAATTAGATATATAAAAGTGAGACAAATGCCAGATCTCAGGATATCATGTCCAAATCACAAAGATACTACACAGACAGAAGGTCTTGGAGATGACATCTTCTCATCACTGGACACAAGGAGCTGTGAGGAACACAACATCATGTGAAGCATCAGACTTATCTTCTCTTCTCTCTGTCTATGATGCCTTCCTCAGCTCCGGATGATTCGACTGTCTTTGACTCTGGGAATTCTGCTCCACTGGATCAAGTAGTGAGAGTACTTCACTATGATTTCTCTACAGCAGTGACTACTTTACAGACATCATTCTAGGTACTCGTAAACTATAATTAACTTACCCAAGCATATGTAAAAACTGAGACATTCCAAATTGCCTTGAAAAGTGAAATTTATACAGGCACAGATTAACACATCTGGACTCTTGAGAAGCTGGCAAGGAGAATAGCGTCACTTAGACACTTCAGGCGTTGGTACAAAAGAAGTCCCTTGTATACTGGGGCAAGGAGTAAATCGGTTTCCAAGAAACCTCAAATAACTCCCTAAATATATCTCCAAGAGATATACATTTAAAAGTGGAGTTTAGTTAAAGTAACCAGAAAAGGCAGACATAATAATGTTGTCCAATACAGGCCTATATATATAGATATAAGGGACTATATATTTCTAGGCGAGTCCAAGTTTGAATTTTGTGCAGATTACAGGTAAGACAGGTTATCAGCCTTACAGACCGATGCGTAATGGCTATCATTTCACGACATAAACGGTTTCTCGGTTAACACCAGATTTATCTGTCATCATCCTCACAGAAAAACATTGATCTTCTTGTACCCGTTCTGAGACTTTTTCAGTGAGTTCATCAATGTGAACAGAATTTTGGCGTCCAGGTCTAGGTGCGCTAGTAATCATTTCCAAAACCCTTTTGAATGGTAAATACCATCTGAAAATGTGTGCATGAGATAAACAATTATCACATGAACTTCAACTGTTTCAATAATGCTCATTCTGAGTTTGAAAAAGAATTTAATGTTAGCGTTTTGCTCCGTGCTGATTACGTAACAATGCATCTCTGACTAGGTCAACAAAATGGTGGCTTGTTTGTTGTCTGCTTATCGAGCAGATGAATGTTGCCTCTTTAGATACCATGCTTTGCTTCATATATGACATTTTTTCTCAGGCAAAAACCCCAAAAACTGGACCCTGCTGGTGGACTTGACATTTCAGATAAAATAACTGAGACGTTTAAGGCTACATTACACTTCTTCCCAATGCATTATCAGAAAATGGTAGTTATGAATTGTTGGCTGATGGTAATCCTTAGGACACTTGACACGTCAATGAGTGTTCAGATTCCCCTTTTAACAAATAAATAGTGATTGAATTCACAACTTAAACTTGCTAACTTCAGTCTGGGCATGCTGCATTACAAATTGATGAACAAATTGACCAACTGGTAAGTAATTCCCCAAGGCAAAGGGGAAGAAGCATGCAAAGAGCTGATATCAATGCTGTACGGACTAGGCCGGCGGATAATGATTAACGTCTGAGGTTCACTCGATTGTATGACCTTGGTGTAGAGTTAGGTGAACTGTGCCCATGTTGTCTTAGAGGCCAAGTCAGAAGATTTAACAAGTTTGTGATAGGAACAATCAATAGAGCTGCATTGGAGTGACTGCTCTCTCAGGAGACTTAGCATGCATAATGAAGTGAAGACGAACTCTGTCTTTGTTAGTCAAAGTGATTAGCACATGGTCTGTTTGAACACTTACATTGTTGGTGTATCGTTATCTGCGAAGTACTCTAGTTTTGTATCCAGGAAAATAAACATATTTTGAATGGGATTGTTATATCCAATTCCTTTGATTCCGGATAGAACTCATAGTTAGCGCACGTGGTCTGGCTAGATGCTGCTTATGTGATTATGTGTTGTTGTTGTTGTTGTTGTTGTTTAACACACTATTCACATATATACTGCCTGGGTCATGAGCATTATTAACAACGTCAGTGATTGCCGTTTAGTATTGGGTTGCTTATTAAATTATAAAGTAACTGACTGTTAACGTTGGTTTATTGTAGACTAGTGAACGTCACGTGTGTGTCCTCTAATATGAAAGTAGTATGAAATCCTGGCATACTGGGCCAGCCAAACGACAAGCCCGGTAAGGTGCGCGTTCTTGACCTTAAAGTTATTATTAGTAAACTGATAACATCAGTGTGGCATCACAGAGGGAAACATGTGCATACTACTTAAACCATTTAAGCCTTAGCTAGTTCACTTGCTAAACGCATCTATGCCAGTCGCCTTGTCTTCTCCGAAATTAGCACAGAGACGGATTTTTACACTTGATTCGGGCTTCCCGGTCATCCATATAAACCTAACTACATGTACAAAGGAACAAACATTACTTTCAAAGGGTCACAAATTGGGCAGGCAGGCCTGTCTTTCATTCGGCTCTTCCAAACACCTATCCTTCACTCGGCGGTTACATTTTACCGAGAAATTTTAGTATGTCTATACAATAATTTGCATAATATAAATGTCAAAGAAACAAAACACGCCCACATACACATGTATACATGTACATGTATATTTTGTACATGTACATGTACAAGGAGCTGTCTTGACAATTAGATAAGTTCAGTGTGACTATGAATACATTCCCAATCATATGAAAGGTTTCAATGCAAATTTAATGACACTGAAACTCGCGCTTGGAGAGAATGATACAGCATGAAGTGTTTGTGGGCTATGGTGGGATATGGGAGAGAGGGAAAGGGTGGGGCAAAACCAGTAGTTAACCAGATGACAGCGAGTAACATCAGTATGTCTTCTCTTAATTGGCTGTTGAGAGGGAAAACGGATCTAATATGGGCGTGTCCTGAATGCTGTCATGTTGAATCTTTACCCAGAGGAACCCAGATGCTAGCGTGATTGCTACTTAACTAGATCAGTCCCTGGCTCTTGTAGTTGTAACTCTTTCTATAGACAGAAACTGCTACTTTTAACCAATACATCTTACATACAAAGGTAATCATAAAATATCAACCTAAACAGAAAACGTGAAATTAATAACTGTAACGGAGCGAATCCATGTAACAGTCTGAAGAAAGAGGAGGAGTCAAAGTATACACTTGGGAAATAACAATAAACGCAAGGTGAGTTGCTTAGTATCCAATGAGTTAATATATACACACGGATACAAACATTGAGAGTCAACAAGCTAGCAGGCAGCACTACTTACCATAACCCCCACGAAGATGGCAACACCCCGGCCACAGTATGTATTAGGCACAATATCTCCATAACCAATGGACAGAAAAGTTATCGCTACCATCCACATGGAGTTGAGGATGTTGGCATGCTCCGACGCGTGATGTCTGAGGACAAACAAACCATATTCATCATGATGTCTATGAACAGGAAATTAAACACATCTGTGTCTATTATATACAATGCGATGCCTGTGAAAATTAAAATATACACATCTTAATATGTCCGTGAAATTAAAAATATCCGCATCATAATACATGTGAAAATTAAAATATGCACCTCTTGATGTCTGTAAAAATACACACAGTATACATCATGATGTATGTGGGAAAAAAATATACACATCTTGAAAACAGCGAAACAAACTTTGCTCGACAAGAATTTTTGTGCTTCGTTTCGTGTATATTATGTCTGGTACGTGTGAGCCATTGTTTTGTGAACTTTATACAATCGGTGTCAAACATGGACCCTTACTGAAACTAACAAGCGTACCAATAACTATCTTTCAGAAGAGCTACCTGAGGAAAAAGAAGAGATACAACTAGAAATGAAGAAATAAAAAGATTCGGGAATCGATTCCATTCATACTGTTTATTGAAAAGCTTCAAATGCGATTGTTTGGTCATGTGTAGAAAATGCTCCGCACTAGTTGTTACAGACAGCCAGGCTGCAGAAATATAATGGGTCTATAGCAAGGAGAAGATCTTGTAGAATAACGAACGACGGCATCAAAAACATCTTCTTCTTTTGTCAAAATCTGCTTGTGCCGCTAGGCGTCGCAGTCTATCAGATGATCGGCAACCGAGCCAGGGCGCGCTCAGTCGCTTCATATGCCGTGATGTTATGAACTCTCAAGTTGTCCGTGACTCCTTCAATCCATCTTCTTCTTGGTCTTCCCCTGCCTCTTTGTGTTTCGATTTTCATGTTGTATGCTCTTGATGCTGGCATCGTTGGTTCCATTCTCATTAGGTGACCAAACCATTTCATTCTTTGCTTCTCAATAAATTTAATGATGGGTACATCTCATTTCACAGGTGGTTAGTCTTCTCTCGTGTTCTTTTGTTAATGTCCAAGTCTGACATTGATAACCTAATGTCGGTATAAAGATTGTATTTATAATTTGTCTTTTTATCTCAGCTGGGACAGTAGGGTGTTTTAAAATTGGGGCAAGCTGGTATGCGACATTGTTGGCTTGTTGGATTCTTGCTTCGATCTCTCTGTCTATTTTACCATTGGATGTAAAGATACTTCCCAAGTATTTAAATTCTTGCACTTGTTTTAGGCTGTGATCTAGAATCTTTATGTCGATGGTTTGTTGCTCTCTACTTATGCTCATGACTTCTGTCTTTTCAGTATCGATCTTCATATGATGCTTGAGGCAACTGTCGTGTAGTAGGTTTATGTGGTCTTGCAGCTGTTTACTATCATTGTGAAATATGCATTGATCGTCGGTAAAGAGCAGCTCTTTGAAGTCCTCCTGTTTATCGACATCTGTTGGTGTTATGTCTATTTTATTAATATTGTCCATAAATATTATGAAAAGTAAAGGTGATAATACACAACCTTGTCTTACTCCTGATGTTACTGGGAACCAGTCTGTGATGCCAGCTCTTGTTCTAATGGCGCTTTCACTTTGTCTATAAATAGCCCTAACACAATCTAAAATTGTTCCATTTATACCGTAATTTTCAAGAACTTTCCATAATAAATTTCTGTTTACTCTATCGAAAGCTTTTTCTTGATCTATGAAAGCGATGTTCATTTGATGTCTGTGTTCTATTGTCTTTTCGCTAACTTGTCTTAAAGCAAAAATAGCGTCAGTACACCCTCTTCCTTTCCTAAATCCGACCTGTGATGGGCTCAGGAACGGTTCTACAACGGATCTAATTCGTTGTTCCAGAATTTTGGCAAACATTTTTCCTACGTGGCTTAGAAGGGAGATGCCTCTGTAATTGTTACAATCTTGCTTATTGCCTTTTCTTTTCCAAATTGGGACTATAAGGGCTCTTTGCCAGTCTATTGGTACAGTTCTTTCATTCCAGGCTTTCCTAAATATGTGGAGTAGCCAGGTGACTCCAATTTCTCCACAAGCCTGTATTGCCTCGGCTGATATTCCATCAACACCTGATGCCTTATTTTTGGGACTGCATCTGATTGCTTCTCTTCAAAAACATAATTAAATAAATTTCGACTAATTTATACAATGCACTGGAAGGAGTTCACTGAAAGGTCCTTAAATATTACCTTGAATATAAGAAGAAAAGAAGAAGAAGAAGGAGTAGAAGAAGAAAAATAAGAAGAAGCATCAGCAGGAGCAGCATCAGCAGTAGTAGTCGTAGTAGCAGTCGTAGTAGTAGTCGTAATCGTAGTAGCAGTTGTAGTAGTAGTCGTAGTCGTAGTAGCAGTCGTAGTAGTAGTCGTAGTAGTAGTCGTAGTCGTAGTAGTAGTCGTAGTCATAGTAGCAGTTGTAGTAGTAGTCGTAGTCGTAGTAGCAGTTGTAGTAGTAGTCGTAGTCGTAGTCGTAGTAGCAGTTGTAGTAGTAGTCGTAGTCGTAGTTGTAGTAGTAGTCGTAGTCGTAGTAGCAGTCGTAGTAGTAGTCGTAGTAGTAGCAGTAGCAGCAGCAGCAACAGCAGTAGTGGTAGTAGCAGCAGCAGCAGCAGCAGTAGTAGTAGTAGTAGTAGTAGTAGTAGTAGTAGTAGTAGTAGTAGTAGTAGTAGTAGTAGTAGTAGTAGTAGTAGTAGTAGTAGTAGTAGTAGTAGTGGTAGTGGTAGTGGTGGTAGTAGTAGTAGTAGTAGTAGTAGTAGTAGTAGTAGTAGTAGTAGTAGTAGTAGTAGTAGTAGTAGTAGTAGTAGTAGTAGTAGTAGTAGTCTGCGACAGAACAGACCATTAGACATAAATGCCTACTTTCAAATTTACGTTCACACACACACACACACACACACACACACACACACACACCCGACACAAACATCAGAAAGACGTGCAAACAGGCACATACAGACAGGGATGCACATACAGACACAAGCATCACTGACGGATACACACAGGGATAAGCACATAGATATAACACAATTAGACACAACAGACACAGATACAACACAACCATAGACACAACACAAATACAGTTACACATTCATACACAACGCACACTCACATATAAACACATCAAACACTCACATATAGACACAACACTCACACACACACGCCGATATAACATACACCTAAACGTAACATAAACACATAGGCACAACACACACATAGTCACAACAATCATAGAGACACAGCACGCTAACATATACAATATACATTATTCACATTAATTTTTACTTAGACATAACAAACATATAGATACAACACAACCAGCACAATACACACACAAACATACAAACCCATATACACATAGTGGCTTACGTGCACACATAACACTTACAGACAGGCACACGCGTATACAGGAACAAAGACAGCCAGAGCACAGACGGAAAAGCACACGCACATATACACAGAATATACAAACATGCATACACACAGATACAACACGCATACACCAAAAAAATACTGGCATAAACAAGCATAGACACAACACAAAGAGATACAACAAACACACACGCACACATACACAGGTACACACAGCCACACGCAAAGAATATGACGTGTTTTGCTGACCCTTCTAGACATAGTTACACTTTTAGGGTACTTTCTGAGCGTCAACCCAATCCTCAGCATCGTTTGAGAAGTCGATACTTATTGAATTATTGCTTAGTACACTGCTTATCTTTGAAATGTTTTAACATGTTAACTCATCCAAGGTGGTAACAAACGTATTCTACTAATTTTTCTACGTCATCTAAACAAAATAATCTAATACTGAAAGGTCGTTTCTGGTCTGGACGAATCGGATACTAAATGAAATTAGTGACGCTTTAGTCTCCGAAGAATCGGATACTGGTGAAAACTAATGACTTTTCGCGTGTTAACTCCAGGAATCTTGCTAAGGAGAGTGGGCGGAAATTGATTTTAAACGAAGCACGGAAACAGTTTGTTAAGTCTTCTCTAGCAGTAGTCAGGGGACTTTTGTTTCCACTAGCGGAATGAATAAATCGGTAGCGGGAAATACAAAAGTTGTTATGATGACGCAGAGTCAGCCAGGCATAAACGTGTTTTGAGTTCAATTCAAATACACACAGTTGAAGATGCCAGCATGCATCAGGTGTTATCGTATCTAGTAGAGTAAAGGACCCTTTTCCACGCCTTTAGGCCTATAGGGCATATAGGGCTAGAAGTGTACTTTATAGACCATTAGGCACAAGATAACTAATGTGGCCAGCATCACGCCAGCTGCCTTTACTTCCAGGGACTGCACCCGGTACCCACTCAAGGATGGGTCGACCTGGAATTTAAGGTCAAATTATCTTTTCTGGAAAATATAAATTAATTGTTATTCGCATGCAAGATTTTAAAAGCAATACTGTTACAATTTCGTATCCCCCATGAGTTAAACACATTTAGGGAGACTGTGACTAAAGGGCTTAGCCTATCATTATGAACATCATATGTTCATTCGGGGCATTCTCGTTTCGTTCTTGAGTGCAATTGTTTCTGTGATCTCTCGGGATCGTAGCTGAAGCTAGCGAGTGTGTGCTTTATTAATGTGACACTCTCGGCGGCTTGTCTTTTTTATAGAGACACATAGACCTAAACCGTATAAAACCCAGTGAAATGAAGTTAATCTTCTTGTCTTTAAAATATGAAACCCTTTAGCTGTGCAATTTTTCCGGCCAATGTGAAAATTAAAGGCGACGCTGAATTGGAGAAATTCACAAAATCGTTAACTTGTAATTTGGAATATGGGAATTTTTTTTTTCTTTTCAATTTCTCCAATAAAAATGCATTATCTTCGTTCGTTTTATTTTGCCTGGTAATCCACAAAAAGAGCAAAAGCCATCCATGAATTCTTGGCAAGTCATCCTGTTACTGGTCTAGTGTGCAGCGCGCCTCAGGTCCTTCCCATTTTTTTAATACCTCAAACTCTTTATTTTTTCCTGTGTTTCTTGGTCTGCTATTATATCTGACATGTCGGGCTTCTGAGCAAGGGCGTTCTAATTAGATC